CCGCCCCGCTCCGCCCCCCCTACACCAGCATGCATCTCCGCCCCCGCCCCCTGAGGCTGGCTGAATCACTGACACGAGGCCATGGTGGACATGGAAAATGAACACCCCCAATGCTCAGCCGCCGCCACCGATGGCGCTGATGCCGCCTCCAACGTGGCTGCTGTTCCCATTCACGACGAGTGGATCGAGCCGGCCCCGGATGCAGGGCGCGGCCGGCCGCATGTTCCCCCTCTCCTCAATGACTCCCTGGTCAAGACCATCCGCGGCCTGGTGCGCGGGGCCTTCGCCCAGCAGGTGGTCGTGGTCGAGGATGCCGACAGCCCGGCCGCCGCCGCCCCCGCCGAACCGCCCGTGCACATCCTTCCCATGCCGGAGGGCGACAGCACGCCGACCCCGGCCGATCTGGACCCCCCGCGCCGGCCGGCCTTCCCTGGCCGGAAGAAGCATCATGCCTGGAAGCGGGCTGCCTCCTTCGCGGCCCTCGAGCAGGCCGACACCCACCACCGCCTCGGCGGCCAGCGGCACTTTGTCCGCCGCAGTGCCGACGATACCTTCATCGAGGACTTCCCCGCCGAGAGTGGCACCCTCCTGCCGGATGACGTCCGCGACCAATTCCGCGAGAGCCTGGGCATGCTGGAGAATGCCCTGGCCGACCCGGTCCTTGTACGTGGCCCGCATGCCCTTCAGTCGCCCCGCCCCGGCTCGCGCCCGCGCCCGCGCCAGCAATCCCGCCACCACCGGTTGCTTGAGACTAATGGCTTTCCAATGTCGCCCACTTCCTGCCTCCCGGCTCGGCTTTCGCGTGCGGGGATTCCACTCGCCGATCGTCGGGCGGTGGGGGGGGGGTCACCCTGTCAGACGTCCATCATCGCCAGTGTCATGATCACCCTCATCATCCTGTCTTTCATTGTCGGCCGGGCGTCCGGCGTGTCGGCCGCGGCCACCTCCCGCCGCGACGCCAAGCTCGCGGCCGCCGCCGGCGGACGGGCCGGCGCCTCTGCCCCGCCCACGATGAAGTGCTGCCGCAACCCGATGTGCCTGCCGCTGAAGCTGTGCTGGCGCGCGGTCTGCGGCCCGAAGAAGAAGCCCACCCTCGGGCCTCGCTCGCGCTATGGCACCCGCAGCGGTGCGGGCGCCTCGGCCGCGGCCGGCTCGGTCTGCGACTGTCCCATGAAGCTCGAGACCGGCACCCATGCCAAGAGCTGTGCCGTGCACAACATGTCGTCCACCCTCTGCCCAGACACCGAGGCCTACATGTACGACTCCGAACTTGATAGCGACTACTCCGACGATGACTATTGAAGGTCGCGCCGGGGGGGGGGGGGGGGCTCGGCCCGCCAGCACCCGCGACCCCTGCGCCCTGGGCCCCTTTGATCGACATCTGCACCGCATTCAGGCATCAAGGATGACACGGGGGGGGGAGGGGAGTCAAGGGATCGGTCGCTCACAGGTGAGCCTGTCCTTCCCAGCATGCTCTGCCTCTTCTCCCCACACGGGGAGGCTTTCGGGTGGGCCCGGCACAAAGTGGCGTCGGGCCTCGACCCTCCTGCTATCCGCGCTTGCGCGGCGTGCGCCTCCCAACTTTTGACCTCCGGTGTCGGGCTCCAGCGGATGCCCCTCCCCCTTTCCACCCACCCACACCCACACCCACACCCACACCCACACCCACACCCACACCCACACCCACACCCACACCCACACATACATACATACATACATACATACACCCTGTCATGTCCCTATAGTCTTCCCTCCCCTACACGTCGTCCACAGTGGCCCTCTCGTGCCATGGGCCTCTGGACCACCGTCATAGAGGCGGCTGTGCCTTTCCAGCTTCCGCCTCGCCCCTGTCCCAGCAAACTACACCAGAACAGTACCAGCACCACCTTGCATCGCAGGACAGAGGGAAGAAGGGCCCGGAATGAGAGAGAGAGAGAGAGAGAGAAAGAGAGGGAGAGAGGGAGGGAGGGAAGAGCCCGGCGCATTGGAGGAGATGCAACTTGTGCCAGGCTGCCAGAGAGGGGGCGGAGGCGGAGGGGCTGCGGGTCAATCCCCATCCTGGGCATCTGACCCCCCCCCCCCCCCCCCCCCCCCC